TAGTAATTACACATTTGCTTCAACTGAAATCAGATGTTGTTATATCTTGTAATTTAAATCACAAGTTAAAAATACAAGATTTTAAAGATTATTTAAAGTCTCGAGATTTTTTAGTCGTAAATTTTAGTCGAGGTATGAAGTTGAAGTTTAAAAAGTTTTACAGCAAGCATACAATTAATAAGAAAGTAAAAGCGCCTTATTGCTTTGTAGACTTCATAATATTCGCATTACATTTTATTAATATTATGAGTAATATGAAGTATACTTAATCAGTACGTAAACATAAATGCTATAAGCCCAGAAAAAACTAAGATTCTAGAACTGATATTCGAAATATGCATTAACAGTATGCTTAAAAAGATATTATATACACTTATTTAGTTATAATTATTTAGCTACATCTCATTAAATCTATTCCAGCAATTTCCTATTAAACTTTGATTTTGTTCAGAGTAATTGGGAATTCCCGTTTTAGACGTGTCTCTCAAATGTCAAATGATAGATTTGTGTCAAATAGGATTTAACAAGCGGAAAAGTCTTAATCTCATTAATTTAGTTTCAGAAAATTAATTATCGTCGATGCTACTAAGGAATTTTATTATTCCTGATAATGTTATTCATTACGCTAAACGTTCTTCCTCCTAGCTTCTGCAGAATTAATTGCAACTGTATTCAAAATTCTATTAGTTTTGAAAATTTTACTAGGAATCCGTGTTCTATATTCTCGACATCAACAAAATTTCAGCAGCTGTTTATTAAAATGTTGTATTTTAGTGTTTTGTTTTTAGTTTATTTTTGGTTTCAGTCTAAGATGCTTCACAAATGTATGAGCGTATGATCAATTTTTAGGATGTAAAAAATAATGCAGAAATGCATTCATTAAACTAGTTGCATCGTTGTTGTTCAGAAAGAAACGACTCATATACTTTCCCAAATTTTCTCAGAAAATCAGTATTTTATTTCTGTTTCTAAATGTTAAATTAGATATATTACCTATCTTAATTTTATATCAGTTCTAATAATTAAAATATTTCTCTTTTTCATAGCTTTGTAAAATATATATGTTTCCTCTGAGGTGCAGCTAACGAAACTAAATCATTCGAACCGATTTGTTTTTACCCAATACAATTTCATAACTGTGATTGAAACGGATATGCAAAGTGTTATATGATTTTCAACTTGTTTTCGCATTCTTGTCACTACAGGCTGTCCACCGAGGCCCCGATATTCTCACAGTTTTAAATACTGCACTGCCAATATCTCAGAAATATTCCTCTAACGTCCTTTCGAAGAATCATAACAAACATCATCAGAAAACTGCGTAAGATACTTTACTTCAGTTATATCTTTCATTATGTTACTCGAAGACAAATGAATGCGGTGATCTATACCAAACGCAAGTATGAGCAAAATTTTTCATCTTTTTTTTTAATAGTAGAAGCACTTTTTCCTACCATTAGCTGGCACCCTCTCTTAAAATCTGATTACATTTTTAATATTTTAAGTTTAATATTAATTAAAATTACTTTTAAATGCCCTTTTTAAAAGCATATAAGGTATTTTATTCAGTTCCCTATTCCTTCGTGGTGTAACTAAAATCACGCTTCGACGAGTAATCAAATCCCGTCGAAAGCACTGCAGTTTCTTTAGTTTTCAGAGACTGAAAAACTCTACAAGTAAATCTCTAACAAGTGGTGCTCTAACTAAAAGGGGGTAGACGATAAGTCACCACCAAGATTTTACGACAGTGTTCCTTAATCTCCAGTCACACTTTAAAAGAAAGACGAAGTATATAAAGTATTTTCGCCCACCTTTTCGTATGACCTCGTGGTGTAACTGTAATACATATATTAACATGTTGTTAAAAATTTTGTATAAAATAACATGAAAAATCTGCCAGAAAAATAAAGTTACAGGCAGAAGTCTATTTAACATTGAGGTAAATGGCTATCTGGATAAATTGGTGATCATCGCCATTGTTAGCGACCATTTGGCGATATACTGTATCGCCAAATGTATATATATAAACGTAGCTGTATATATTGGTGTATATATATTGGTACTGTAACTAAACAATATACGTAGCTAAATAATACCTGTACTGTACGGATCTGTAATTGATGTATAACTGTAACGGATCTTATATGTAACTTTAACCGTATATACCTTTTAGTAATTTGGAGAAAGGCAAGAAAGTTTCCTGGCGGCCGATGAAAAACTATATAAGACAGGAGAGATCATAGGTTCTCAATTTTTAGTTCAAGTCAATTTTTAGTTCAGGGTTTAGTTTACTGCTGTGAGATTTCCTTGCGAGCTTCGCTCTTTGGATGCGCTTTTCTTCAATGCTTTGTGTTTAACGTTAGTAGTTTGAAGTGGTAACAATGGATTGTGCTCTGTACGTCCGAGAAGAGCTGCGCGAGTACTTTTGCTGAAAGTTTCAGAACTTTAGAGTGTTTCATTTGGGAAAATAAATGTTATCAATCTATTATTGGCTAAATGCGCATTCCATTTATTAAGAATCCGTACGCACGTAACAATATATATTTCTTCATGTTTCTGCAAAGATATATTCCACAATACCTGGAATCATAAATGAAAAATGGAAGGGAGTTTTGAAACAAAAATATGATTAATATTTTTAGAGCTATTAAAAATTCTTGAATGTTTTACGTTTTAGAAAAATAATTGCTGAAAATATTTACTGTGCTCTCTATACATATTAACTGATTGCCAATTTTCTTTGTTTAACATATCAGTTTTAATAATAAGTGTCCTTTTACTTTAATTTTCAATATTTTCAACGAATTTTAAAATAATTATTTGATTTGCAGTCCAAAAATAAAAAAAAAGTCTCTATCTTGAACTGATTTCTATTTGCTATCATAGACTTCCTAGTTGTTTCGTATGCTGTTAATTTTCCGAGATATCGCGATTCTTTCTTGGTTCCCGAAGAATATTCGTAATTGTTTTTCTGTTCAAAATTCTAAAGTATTTCAGAGTACTATTTGGAAGCACTATTATTTACGTTTTTCAGTCTGAAATGCAATGTTTCAGTAAAGCTACACGGTGGATCGTTCAAAAAGCTGTTTTATACAGAACTCGTTTCTATATGCAAAATGTTAATATTTAAGCATGATACTTTTTAAAATTAACTTGTATTAGTGATTAAACATTTTCATTGCATTCCATTCAGAATTCTGGGGGTCCATCATGGTTCAATTGGATCAGATCATTGAATATTGGTAGTTCGATCTGGGTTCAAATGCCGATAATTTGGATTTTGGATACATGGCGTTTCTTAATTTTCTTCACGAATCAATATAAGTACAATTTCTTGTGATGTAAATACACCCAGGTTTCCTGTGCGAAATAATTTCTTCTCCCACTCAGACAGTCGTGAGTTTGTTTTAATCAATTAAACAAATAAACATTTTAGGCAAATCTAAGAAAATAAGCTATGGCAAAAATAGACAGCAACAGAACATTTTTTGAATTTAAAGATAAAAAGAGAAAAAAATATGCGTTCATAAACATTAGCCAAGAATTAAATAAAGCCGATAATTCCTGGTCAGTTTGGACATCGACGATCTGCACTATTCTGAAGAAGATGGAAGAAATTAAGAAATTTGATGTGGTCAAAGCACCGTTACTTCCAAGCACCTTCCAAAATTTCTATAAGAAGTTGAGAAACTTGTTGGTGTGGATTAACGAGAAGCAGTTAAAAAGGCGATTAGGTGCTGGAAGCTATCACTTGCGCTAAGGCTAAGAATCTGTACTTGGACCTTCTCCGAAAAACACCAACTGAAGATGAGATGGTAATGAGATTTTTGAGGATGCGGAACGGATTAACTAGATTTTCATTATTTTCAATGAGGAAGTTTGTTTCTAGATACGAAAAATTCGCTATAAGAGCTCAAGTTTGGAACAAATTAAACTCGTGTCTTGATGTTCCCCTGTATGCTGAACGGAGTAAATTTTCTTTACATATAAAATAACGCATGTTACGTCATTAGCTACACCTACACACTACACACCACAGCCCTCTAGCGGCATTTTAGGTATACAAGACGTAATAAACGAATCCGACGGAAAGATTTCAGTAGTGTTAGTAAAAACCTCTGAAGGCACTTTCAAAAGAGGGATCAGCTAAATTTATTTGCTTCTAATGAATGATTGAATTTCCATTTGCATTGATTGTAATAGTGTATTTGCATCTCTATTTATGTTTATATATTTTTTATGTATTCGACTTTATTCACCCTTATAACCGGCAAGGCCGCATAAATACGGCCTAGAATATTTTTGTTATATCTATAAGAACGTATATATACGTGTATATTGAAATATGTCAAAGAAATTAAGGCAATATATTAAAAGTACACAAATCCAGGTATAAAATACCAGGATAATTTTTACATTAAAATCAAGGAAATAATTTTTTCTCATAGTAGTTTTGGGAAATTTTGTGATTTCTTAGCGAAAACCCTGACCAGTCAGACGTTTAATTCCCTTATTTGCTTAAAAAAGTGTATTTCCTTGTCAATTGTACCAATGTTGAAATCTTGCTACATAAAATTGTAAAATTGAAATTGAGATTTTAACACGGGGTGTATGTATGTTTCGTCATTAGCTACACCTATGCAACACAGCCCTGCCTCATTCTAGGCTAGAAATTAAAAGGTGTTCTTTCCCAAATGGGTTGGATATTTGCAGAAAGTATTACTTTGTATTTGTATTACGCTATATTTAAATTAGTGTAAATTCATTATAATGATCAGTAATAAAATTTCATCCTTCAAAAATGTGTATAAAAGGCGGTGCGTCGTATACACCGGCAAATACTGTAATTGAAATTTGTGTCACAAAACATTTTTTGTTTTAAACCCGTTATAAAAAGTAAAATTCTGAAAATATTTGATATATTTTAAATGCATGATGTAAAATTTGTTAATAACATGCAGTCTTATATATATTGAAAAGTAGTGAAATTTGAAACTTACTTGGGTATTTCTGGTAAAACCATATCCGATGAATCTCTCATCATGTAGAGGCACATTTGCTCTAGCTACATAAAAGGGTTCGTAAAAAAATTCATAATTGCTTATTTTGTAAGCAGCTTCAAGTTTATTAGAATCAGGTATTCGCTCCCAGCGCGAATGATTTGTGGCATATTGATTATGGATAAATACTTTGGCATGGAACGGTCTGCTTTGCTTCATTTGTATTCTATCTAAGAGCTCTGTCTTAGACTGGGGAACTGGAAGTCTTTCAGGCATCTCGTACGTAGGCACCACATATACGCATTTGGGACAGTTCTTGGCGTGAGGTGAAGAACCCAGGAAGACATTGAGCTGCTCAGCGAGTTTTGCTACGGGCATGATATCAATGTCCGTCAGGAAGTGATAAGCAGTCCTTACCCCACGCCGTGCGACGTTTCTCAGATGATTTTGAGGATGAAGTGCCTGTTGCCACCAGCGTCGAAAAGTACTAGTTCTGTACCGTAATAACAAAGGTAGAGCTTCATTACTTCTAGCACATGAAGGTATAGCTTGATGATCATGAGAATGTCCAAATATAGAATCCTCCGATGGTGCCATATCGCGATGGTATAAAAAATGGAATGTAGCATTCGTGCGTATAACTTGCGAACACAGTCTTAAATATGCGATGTAGACTTTGGCTATATAAAAGTCTACGCCTGGAACAAAGACTGCTACAGACATAGGCGCTCTCCAGGCATCGGCGACTTCCAGCAAAAGGTGCAACCTGTCCACAGAACATTGTGTAGCTAGGGTCACATATGCAGATTCTGAGTAACTGCTGTACCCATTGCCAATTACAACAGAGTCGTGTATGATGTAAGTACGCCTACTGTCTGTTCTGGAAGACGACTGGTTAAAGTTGAAGACAAAGCTGGACAGCAGGTTACCTATCAAAAGAACTCCATCTTGCTCGGCAGGAATAAACTTGGTGATGCTTTTATTTTTCGTGCTACGAGATATTAAAATCATAGCAAGCAAGTTGCAGAGGGTAAATAAAGCAACTGCTGTAATGTAGACGAACAAAGATGAACGGCTGCATGCTGGGCGGCAACGATGCCGCATAATGGGCGAACACCTGAAAAATATTATAAAAGAAATGAGAGGGATTTAAAGATAAAAAAACATAAAAATAAAATGGATGTAAAAATCAGAGAAATGCAATCTTAGTAATTACCGCGTATTTACGAATATAAGCCGAGAGATAAGGTTTTGTTGCAAAAATTCAGTCAGAATTGAAAAACCCCATGGATAAGCCAAATCTAAGATTGAAATTCAACTAATAAATTATAAATTTCATTGGAAAAATAGTTCAGAAGTGAACATCCGATCTTTAAAAAAATGTTGTTTTATCAATGTTATGGTCGAAACTGAAAATGATATTATTCTACACAGCAGATACCGATTATCTTAACTGTGAAATGGAGAACGATGCCATTCACATGGGCTTGATCGTAAAAGACAAGGACATCAGAAAATTATAATTTGGCAAACTCAAAAATTTCGACAATTTTTTAGTCAAATACTGACGTTGCAAAATTCAATGAATATATATAAGAATTAAATAAAACTAAACCTCTTTTCAATTAATTTCAATTTTTAATATTTTTAAGTTAATCAGTTTTATAACGGAATTATTCATAACTAATTCTAAACTCGTATATCTAAATTTCCAGCTGCAAAAAAATTGCTAAAATTTCCCGGCTTATACACAGAAATATACGGTAATTCGTAAAAAGAATGATGAAGTTAATTAATATAAATTAAATTATACAAATAATTTTATTGCACTGAAAAAATAATAAGTTTTTAAGAAAATTATTATAGAGACATGGAAGTTAGCAACGTCTATAGCAACGAACTAATCATTTTGCTTTTCGCACCGCATTACGTTACACTGCGCTACCTTAGCATTATCAGATTCTCTGACTATCAAATTGCCAGCTCTAACAGTTGCTGCTAGGTGTGTTGTAGAAACCTTTTATTGGCGTGGATGGTCAATTCTTAGAGAACTTCTAATCTTAAAATAAAAGTCATTAATTTGTCTAAACAATTAGAGCAATTTTTTGCAGTATGACTATTATCTGTTCGCAGACTTTATTAGAACAAGAATCAAAAGAATGATCATACTTCTTTATAATCTGAATGTCTGAGACATCTATATTTGAATTTTTCCATTTTCACATCATGTAACGGTATGTCAAATTGCCAAAACTTTAACCATGCTCGCCATACTTTAATCATGACAGCTGTTGCCAAACTTGCGTCACCAGTCAGAAGTTTACTTTCTAGAAAGCTACAAATTCGAAATCAGTTGCTAACCTCGAAGTAGAGATTTTTAATTTATCTTTAAAACTATAAACGTAATTTGCATATATAGTGTAAGAGACTGAGTAACTTAAGCAGAATTTTCTTATTGCTGAATAATGTTTTTGTTCTTTCAGTTCTTAATGATATTCAATGGAAATACGAGTACTCGTCATTTCCTAAATGTTAATATCTGTTAACCGTCATCTATTGAAAAAGTTTAATGCACAGACTAAATTAAAAAAACATGAAATGAAAATAATTCTTTCTTAATTCATAAATACCTATTTGTTGTATAATAACATTCATTTCTTCTATAACACACTCCCTTAATAAAAGAGAATATATTATACAGCAAAATTGTATTACTTTATCACTATATTTAGAATAAAAGGTTAGAATACTGTGTTAAAGATATCAAATAAAACTACAATAAGTATCCTTTATTAAACTTGCAGTTTTTTTAAGCAAAGAATATCAAGATTTTAATAATGTGTAATAATTTTAATAACCAAGATTTTAATAATGTATAATAATTTTAATAATCAAGATTTTAATAATGTGTAATAATTTTAATAATCAAGATTTTAATAATGTGTAATAATTTTAATAACCAAGATTTTAATAATGTGTAATAATTTTAATAATCAAGATTTTAATAAGACTGTAATCTTATTTCTATCAGAAATGAATTTACTTGTCGAAATAATCAAACATAAGGGGGAAGCTTTGATAAATAATAATTTGATAAATTAATTATGAAATTATTAAAATGGATAAGTCATGAGCTATTAAAATCAAACAAAAGTAGTATTGAAAATCATACTATGGAGCAAGCATAGTGATATTTGCTTGCACTGAAAAATATTTCCCTTTTAAATTAAAACAAACATAATGTAATCTAATCTAATAATTTAAAACAATCATAATCATCACGGGCCAATCTGCCGTAGAAGCTTTTGTTATTCCAAAGTATAAAGTGTTTTCATAAATTCTGAAGTAAGGAATTCATGAATAAGAAATTAAAATAATCATGTTACATAATATAGAATGTTAAAATAAAACGCTATTCAGTCACTTTATATAAAATATTTAACATATAAAACTACTATAAACAAAACCTTAAAGAGTATAGTCTATATCCTCTTCCCAAGAAAAAAAAAATCTTTACTATTTAATCTTATATAATTTTTCGATAACCTTTAGAAAACGGCAACTTAGGGCTGTATTAAAATCTCTGTAGATATATTAATATGCAAAATGAAATTTAAAAATAAATATGTAAAGTATCAAATAAAATACACTTTATTAAATTATTACAGATTTATAGCAACGCAATTCTTAAAATTTTTAACCATAAATAGCTGAACAGTAAATGATTCTCTACAGGGAAAAATATGATATTAAAAGTTTTATCTTAATACGAGTTCATGACCTTTGGAATTATGAAATATATCATGAAATATCTCAACAAAAAGTAATCAGGACAGCAGAAAGGTGTGGTTTTCTCCTTAGGCAGATAACTCTCAAGCGTTTTCTAAAATCAGCTAATTAAAAGTTAATCAAATATTAAATTATCTTTATCCGAGAATAGATACGTGAGGAAATTACAATAAATTACAATAGATTATAAGGCAGATCTATGTTCATGGCAAACGATTTCTTTAAATTTACTAAAAGTTTTTTTAGAGGCATATAATTCCCATTAATATAATTTTTTCATAAAAAAGGAAGAAGGAAGATGTTTCATGAACTCAGATTCAGGTTTAATATTTTTAACACTTTGGTGAATGTGGACAGATGACAGAGTTTTCTAAATTTAATTCCATTAGAGTCATGGTCGGATGACATTGAGAAATGGCATTCATTCACTGCTAAAATGTAGGTCTGTTTAGAAAACTAGATATAAGCTATTAATTATAATTTTTGTTCAATTTTTTCAACCCTTTCAAAACATTTGTTCAAACTGACCGTTCACAGAATTATAAAACGGAAAGGAGAATGACATAAAAACTAACTCCATATATCATGCGAGGCTGCCGACAGTTTGTCATCCGATCTCGTGAACGCTCACCGCTTCGTGATCACACGGGCGTGACCGACTCTATGCCCATCACGCATCACAGACCCATGGACAATGAACGGAGGACAGCGATCGTCCATCATTCTTAGTTTCCTCTTTTAGGACCGTAAAAAATCTCAAACTATATATATACGCACACAAAACACGAGGGTACTTGATTTACCTTCAGTTTGTATTGATCTAGGACTCCCGCATGACAGTGCTCCCACTGAGGGTGTGTAATTGGTGAAAACATGAATGGTGACACATTTAACTCTTACGTCAGGGCAGGTTATCGCTATGCGTTTAGCCACAGTTTCCTAACTACATTTATGTTTCGCATTAAGGTGCGTCATTCGCTTTAAAAATCATTATTGCAATAGGAAGAATGATTTTTCAGTGTCATTTACACCTTAGGTACGTTTCACTATAAAAATAAGATAATGTAATGTACACATGTAAGAATAATAAAAATACCAAATAAGTAAGAATAAGTAGACTTATTATATCTGATCATATATGAAGCAGATGACTTAATCACGGTCCAGAAATGTCCAGAAATGCTACCTGTTCAAGGGCTGTATGTCGGAGGACTTCATAAGGCAAATCAGCCCTAATGAGGTTAGATATGGAGAGAGAGAGAGAACGGAGGACGTGGGCACTATCCCCTTACCAAACGGTTAATCAGTATAGAACCACAACCACCACTAACTATAGCACCCCTTCAATATGCATAATGCCACCTGAAAGGTATTCAACGTGCACGACAAGACATACAAAATAACATGTCACAGAGTTACAGATTAAAATTCAAGATACATTACTGGTACATTACTGATGAAAATATGACAGATGCAGAACTGATAAAAGGCTGATATAATACTGGTACTGATATTAATATTGATTAATCCTGATACAGTACTGATTCATTGATATAACACTGATTATTAATACTGATTAAACGGGAATGATTTTGCACAAGTCGATAAATAAATCCATCAAATAATACGTCACAGAGACTCAAAATATTGTGAATTAAAAAATCATAGATCAATGTTCTACTGTTGCATTACTTGTACATTACTAATGAAATATAACTGATACACTACTGATACAAGGCTGATATAATACTGATACAATACTTTACTGATGTAAGACTGTTATATTGCTCATGCATATACAATACTTTACTAATATTAATACTCATACGATACTTTACTGATATTAATACTCATACAATACTTTTACTGGCATTAATACTCATACAATACTGATTAATTGTAAATGGGAATGATTTTTTACAAGTCAGTAAATAAAACCACGAAATAACACGTTACAAAGACTCAAGCTAATGCGAATTAACACATCACATATGCATTATCGACACATTACTGTTATATTACTGATGCAAATATGACTGATACACTACGTATACAGGGCTGATATAATACTGATACTGATACAATACTTTACTCATGTACGAACGTTACATTACTGATACTAATATGCATATACAATATTTAACTGTTACAGTAATGATACAATACTTAACTGGTATTAATACTGATTAATATTAGTACTATACTTTGCTGATGTAAGACTGTTATATTACTGATGCAAATTTGCATATAATCCATACGGAACATACGTTTATGGCAGCAGGAGAATTTACGCTGTCTGACATAAGTCCATGCCCAAGCGCAGACAGT